ATGAAGCTCTCTGCGCACTGTTCTTGAGCTAATCTGAAGGCCACATGAAGTTTGGAGGTCTGTAGTGATTGACTCTGCAGAAAGTTGGCGACCTCTTCGCACTATGCGCGTCAGCATCCGCTGACCCCGCTCCGTCAGTTTACGTGGCCTACCACTTCGTGGCTGAGTTGCTGTCGTTCCCAAACACTTCCATTTTCTTATAATACAGCTGACAGTTGACTGTGGAATATTTAGGAGCGAGGAAATTTCACGACTGGATTTGTTGCACAGGTGGCATCCTATCACAGTTCCACGCTGGAATTCACTGAGCTCCTGAGAGCGACCCATTCTTTCACAAATGTTTGTAAAAACAGTCTGCATGCCTAGGTGCTTGAATTTATACACCTGTGGCCATGGAAGTGATTGGAACACCTGATTCCAATAATTTGGATGGGTGAGCAAATACTTTTGGCAATATAGTGTATTTGATGATGTACAATGCTCAATATAGGCACTCTGACTGGTCTGCAGCTATGTAGCCCAAACCTTGTTGAACTTCAATACATTGTTTGCTCTAAGAACTCTATTAAATTCAACAGCAAGTTGTTTAGCAGTATGAGATATAGTGGCTGCAGGGCCAAGCCTTTCTTCTCTAGGTCTTCCCCTAGCCTTGGCAACTGGTGATTTAGCAGCCAATTCACCACCTTTTTTTCGTTGAACTATTTCTGATAAATACTAACCATCGCAGATGAAAACACCACACAAGAGGTGCAGTTAAGTATGTTATCTGAGCCTGGTCATCATCCTTTAGCCTTTGTCAGACTCAAACTTATCCTAGCTCATGTATGTGCTTTTAACTCATCTATAACAGATTTTTTTGGACGACTAAATAAGTGGCATTCATTTACCCTCTCATGGATCATAATATTAACTCTTAGTAATGTACAATGTTAGAAAATATGTTCTATTTAAGTAGCCATTTTTCTTTACAACTAGCTATATAAAAAGAGGATTTCTTCCCACACAGTATTTTTGTGTGTAGGTGTGTATCTCCATCTTCAGACAGCATGGGGTCCAAAGGAGATTAACATCCCTGTTGGATTATAGAAAAGAAACACACTGGAATGCCTCATTAACTCTCATTCTCGTGTTGTGATGTTATTCCATGGCTGCAAGGCCTTTTTTAAGACTGCTGCCACCTGATTAAGTGTTTGCTGTCTTCCCAGTAGACATATGTCTCAATCTGTGTACATGGTCTTTCTCCTCTTTGTGGCCCTCTGGGGATTCTGTGAGAATGGATAAATCAGCCTTGGGAGCACTTGACTGTCACTATCCTTTTACGAGAGTCCCGATTAGGACAGCGAAAGTGCTCAAGAGGCAAGCCTCCACTAAGGTCCGGCTGCAGTGGTGTAGCACCAAGTATACCCTCAGCCGTTAGGGTGCAGTAGGTGAGAGAAACACTGTGATCATGGTCAGTCAGCGCAAAAGAAGGCATCAAGCCGTGCTTGTGGATCCCAGGCCTAGATGGTTACCAGAGGGCACAAAATATCCCTCTGCTGAAATCTTGTCTCTCCTCAGCAGCTTTCCACTGAGCAAAGAGGGTGAAATATTTTTGTACTGCATTTACACTTTTGCTTCCTTAGTATCTTATTCACCTTTTTCTTTTTTAAAAGACCTTGTCCATATCTGTCCTTTTTTTTTGCCTCTCACATTTTTCAGTATCTGTACATGTCATTTTCAGAAACTCATATCTTTTTGACAAGGTTTGCATTTTCTCTATTTCGCAAAGGATTTTCTTGATCCTCAGGCCTAAAGTCTTTTCGTCACTAAATCTGTTCACTAAGAGTTGCTGTTATTAAAGCTCAGTCATCCACAGTGGAAGGTGGAGTAAGTATTTCCTTTTTCCCAACAAGTCACAGTATTCCTTTTTTACTTAGGCAGGGGTCTTGTTATCCCTTTCCTGCTTGCCCTAGTAAAGGAAACCCCCCAACCTTCATTTGCACAGGTTAATGAGCATCAACCTCAGCATGAACATAAAACCAGGCCTTGTTGCAGGGGTGATTGCTCAAACTCTCTCATTCACATCTCACATGCTCCTTTATTCCTTCTCCATCCCTGCATCTCAGTTTTTTTCTCAATCTCTTTCTACCCTCTGCACCTTGTAAATTGGACTCTGGCAACATTACGATGCCTTTCTCATTATTCTCATCACTCTGGCCAAATTGCCTTGTCTTTCAGGACCATTGGGCTCTGTTCATTGGCTGCTTTCTCTAGCTGAGGGCTGTATAAGTCTTTGTTTCCCTCCATCTCTGGGCTTAGGAAGGGCCAGATATAGGGCCAAAACTGCATTCAATTCAGCAGTGGATAGCAAAACATCTGGTCAATGATAATACATTACTTCACACTGCACCTTGTCATCCATTTACTCGGTAAAATGCAAACATACATGAGAGGATCTAAAATACATACAGTGAAGAAAAGCAGAACCTAAAATATGTAATGTTCTCCAATAACGCCAACCAATTAAAATAATTCTTGCCTAGAGGCTAATTTAAAAAGTATGATGAATAGCTATCCTCTGCCACACAAGCAAAAATAATTCATTAAGAGAAATAACTTGAAGTATTTATTTATTTTTTTTCAATACTGCAGTCCTTGGCACAAGCATTAATTTCCCTTAAGTTTGGAGAATGTTGTCTAGACACCAGAGTTCCTTTAAAGTAGAATGAGACATGGATATTTTAGTTATCAGGCTCCTTTCCTGTGAAAACAACTCCCAGTTTTAGGGTCCAACCATTAATTTAAAAAAAAATTGAAAAGATGGTGTCTACATTTGGCCAGAAGTTTTGTTTAGAAGTGTGCTCCTTTCTATAGCAGCGCATCAGCAGAGTTACTATGTTGCAAATAACTTACAGTAAGTCTGTCCCTTTGTTTCACTATTTAAACCCGTCCCCTCTAGACATAGCATTTGATGATATTTTGTTGTGATTAATTGAATGAGGTCCATTTTTGTACTATAAATTTGAATACTAGGTCAGAGCTTATCTGCTTACCTTTTTTTTCCCCTTCTAGGTGAAACCCTAAATAAAGCTACTACCATTGCCTTTTACTTTCCTTTAACAGAGTGCTATATCTGTATTTTGTTCAGGGTAACCGCAGCCCATCTGCAGCAGCCCTCTCTCGACATAGCCATGTGTGAAGGACCGCTGGCTATAATGGCAATTTTTTTGTTTTGTTCTGCAAAACTTTCATTTGATTTTTGTTTATCTGACTGTGTTAATTATTATTCCCCCACTAAATGAAAAAAGTCAGAATTTGTTATTATCTAGAGACTATTAATGACAGGAGGTGAAAAGCAGCTCCTAGAGGAGCTTGTGGTGACGTCAAGAGTACGCTTCTGTTCCAATTGACCTATATTTATTCTGTGTGCTCCTGTTCTCCCCAAGTCCATCCTTTTCTGTGTTCTTCTCAAGAACATACTTGGCGAGGAAACAAGTCCATACTTGCGTTCTTGTGAATTGAGAAAGGGCCAACAATTAGCTCTCCAACTATACAACTGTAATGGTCACCACTACTCTGTGAAGATTCTTGTTTCATCCGTTGCGTATATTAGCTGCGACATATGAATCAAGACCTATTGCTATGACCAAAAAAAGTTGATTGACAGAAGACCGTTGATATACGATTGGCCCAATTAAGGTGTACAGGCTGATGTATAATTACCTGGCCTGTATAAAATAACAAAAAAACACCCACAGAGGGTTTTTTTTTAAATAGAAATTTTCTACATTTTGGGACAATATCGTCTGATAAAGTGTACATTAATATACATGTTTAAGCCAGAATGATTTGCCGTTTAAATATGCTTTCCCTACGACTTTAAGTTTTAAATGATGGCTGAAAGTCAGAAGTTGGAAACTTTGAGTATAATATTGAATTTTATATTCTAATCCTGCTTTAAGTTCAGCCAAAGCTCTTTTCCAAAACTCCATGTTATGGGCAAGTTTCAGAGTAACTTGCAAACGTGATAGCAGGTTTAGGTAGTTTTGAAAAGATCTACTTAACACAACCACGGTAGTGTGTATTAGCAGAGTTTCCCCAGCCTGCTAGTGGTTGACACCATGTGGTTCCTAATGCCTGTTAATGATCTGGCACAGGTATATCTGCTACATCTACAATCAATTCTTTTTTATAAAAGGTGTGTAAATTCAGGAATTGTCCATTTATAAGTGCTCTGTCTGTTGAATCTTTTTTTCTACGTTTCTTTTCTGTGTTTTATTTCGATCTTGAAAGTTCTTTTTTTTCATGGTAATTACTATTCACTACCATGTATGGTATTTCAATCTTCTAAATCACAAATTGTCCATTTACTGAATTGTGCTATACAAATAAACTTGCCTTGCCTTGCTCTGCTCAGGTCAGAGGGGAGTTCCTGCCTCACGTGAAGAAATCTCTGGGTGCTTTTTATGAGTTTTGGGTAAATGGTGCCAATGTGGCACCAATGTGGCAGCTGACCCAAAAGGCAAAGCTCTCAATTTACTGCTTGGTCTATGTCTCCTCCCATTACCAACTGTCATGGCAACGCAGCAGCATATTTGAAGAGCTCCTCCAGCTGCCTAGAAGCAGCAGAAACCTCCACTCCACCAACACCCATCTTCTCTGTACCGCCAATACAAAACTGAGGACAATGGGAGAGCCTTTTAGTCTGTGGCTCCACAGACATGGAATGCCTTTCCAGCCTACCTCAGAGCTCCCCAACATGTGGGATCCCTTAAAAAAACTTAAAAAAACCCATTTTTATTCACAAAAGCTTATCAGCTATGTTTTATTGGGATCTTAATATGTTTTATTGTTGTTCCACTGCATGTGTTCCAATGCAATTATTCTTATTTGACACTGTGTGTTTTTAACTACTTTTTGATGTTTTAACTTTTCAGCACTTTGAGATCTGTTTTTACAAATTTTAGGTTTTTTATAAATAAAATGCATTATTATTATGATGATGATGTTATTACCCTTACCTCTGATAATGGGTTTGGCTGAAAGAACAAGATCTAAGAAATGCAACTAGGTTAAATGAGCTTCTTCAGTTAGTGATCGGCCATCTGGGAGAGCATTGAGCAGAAGTGGCTTGGACTTCTGTTTTGGATGCTCCGGGACGCTTCCCTCAGAGGGTTTTCCAAGCATGCCCTACCAGAAGGAGACTCAGGAGCAGAGGCTGGAGGGACTATGTCTCTTGGCTGAAAGTCTTGTTTTCACCAGAGTAGCTGGAGCAGGGGAGAGGATAGTCTGGGAGTCAATAATGATACTGGTGCCACTGTTACCCCATCTCTGATAAAGAGAAAAATGAGGAATTAGAATGCACCTCATTTACAAATATAATGAGGTTTATGAAAGGACATTGACTTCAGTTTTAGGCCTCGATTACCAGTTAAAAAGGCATTTTATAAATCTCCTGTCTGCCACATCATCATATTTTACATCATACACGTTAGAAGGTAAGTAGACATCCATGGCTCCAGCCTTATCAAAATAATACACTTTGTTCTTACCTGAAGGACACCGCTCTCATTCCATTCCCAAATCTTTGCCACATACAGAATGAAGATTACAACTGTATATCCAGACAGAGGAACTGTCTTAATTAGATTAACTATTGTGAAAAACATCAGTTCTGACACGGAACAGGCAGCCAATACCAAGGTGTAATAAACTCACACATCATCAATGATAATTATTCTAACAGGTGTGTTAATGCAGAGACACATCTAAAAGGTGCAGCATACCACACCTCCAGGACTGTCACTTGGAAACCAAAGTCTATAAAGTAAAGTTAACAAAGAAAAAAGAGAAATAAAAAGGGGCAAACTCTTCTTCAAACCACTTGGCTATCTTAATTTTCAAACCATGATCCTGCATAAAACCTTATTAGTTTTTTTTGTTGAAATTTTAGATTTGCTATCCTGTTCTTAAGTAAGCTTTCAGATTCTCTGCAATCCCTGCAAAGTTAAGGTAGTGTTAATTTCAGGCAAAAGTTGGATGTCATGCTTTAAAGGGATAGTTCGGTATTTTTGACATGAATCTGTATGGCATCCCGATCACCAGCGGCATGCAATCACACTGACTTACCCCTGGCAGCGTCCTGTGAGCAGAGTTATCGTCCAGTTTTGGTCAAGCCGAAAGTAGTCCTTCCGCGGCGGAGGGAGACATGGCTGTTGTTGGGCTCGCTGTCTGAATGACGGCGCGCACTGATACGAACAGAGAGAAAATAGGACCAATTGATAACGACGTGTGACTTTTTCCACTACAATGTTTTTGGGATGCGAAAATATCACTCTTTTGGACACATAATGTTTTGGGAAGAGAAACGTTTTATTTCGCTGTTCCTAAAAACCTGCAGGACTACTTTCGGCTTGACCAAAACTGGACTAACTCTGCTCACAGGACGCTGCCAGGGGTAAGTCAGTGTGATTGCATGCCGCTGGTGATCGGGATGCCATACAGATTCATGTCAAAAATACCGAACTATCCCTTTAACTGCAGTTCATTTGTTTTGAGTGATACTGCAGAAAATGAGGTGATTTATCACTGGATAGCCAATGTTCAGCAAAGTTTACCTCCTTGTTTATGCACAAGGAGGTATTTTTACCAGTGTTTTCTTATCACACATAGTCTGATGGCTTAGGCTAAATGGAGACTAGATGGTGACTAGTCTCCATTTAAAAAATGCTTCTCCCAAAGGAAGCGGTATCTAATTTAAGTATTTTATAATCACTAAAAGATTTTCCTTGTCAAAATTTGCAATTTGTTGATGTAGCTAGTAGAATAAACAAACCAACCATGGTTAAATGTAAATATTGAAAACCCTTAGGTTAATTAAAGAAATTTCCAAGAGAGTTTGATTTAGTTTTTAGAGGATATATATATTTTTTTTCTTTTTGGGGGGGGGGGGGGGGGGGTCAATGTTACTCATACCGGTATTTTTATTTTTTTTAAGCCAAAATAGATAAGGAAGATTGACTAATACAGATTATGTAACGACAATGCCAATACAGATTATGTCATCAGTCTAGCTGATCTCCAATATGCGGTGCCAATATGTTTGTGCCAGTTTTTAAAGCCAATATTGCTTTTCCTTCCTCCATTTACATAATAAAAATTACACAATGATAGCAAATGTTAAATAAGTCTCCTTTTTCTAACATAGAAGAAACATTTATCAAAATATCAAACAAAACACTAATAAACAATAAATGTAAAAAGCAGAATCACATAATCTCAAGGCATACTGTAACTGCTGAATACACATGAATCGGCAGACACAAACACAAACAAGAAAAATATCAGCCGGTTGAAGTATAGGCCTGTCCATAATGGGTATATCAACGAGTACTAGCATTTGCCCACAATTGTTGAAATCTGTCAATTTCTTTTTGCTTAGCTTTTTCTCCTTCTATCTTTATTCAGGCATGACCTTAAGAATAAAAAGGTACATCAGAAACCTCCTCACTGTCACCTTGTGAGCTGTTGTTTGGTTGTCCCTCTACAAATCCTTCTCCTGAGCCTCTCCTTTCATCTATCACTTTCAAAGGCTTTTGTCTCTTGTGAGGCTAAAATGACAACATATTCTCCTGTATCTTTCATATACTCAATGGGAAAGGAAGAACTACATAATCCTTTTTCCACTTTTGCTGTCTGTTCTCCATCTTTTTTTCTCCCCTCTGCAATTCTAAAAAGAAAGCTGAAGAGACACATAAATGCTATAACAATCAAAAACCATGAGCTGTGCAGTGATGATAAAGAAGGTACAAGGGATCAAAACAATTGACATGTTCTGGTTTTTAAGGCTGTTTAAAGGATACCAAGAAATTGAGTGGAGAACTGCTCCCTGTACTCATTGGGGATTGTATTCAATTACAAAGCAGTTCCACTGCAAAGAACCAATATGAAAAATGGTTATTTTAAAGGTTATGTGGGGATCTTTCATTATTATGGCTATTCCAGGCTTCTTTAATAAGATATCTAAAAATACTGTGAAGGTTTAAGCTGAAAAACAACAATGAGGTAATTGTAACAGTGGTGGCGGCTGCTCTCTGAAACAAGGGAGGCTTCATGGTGTTAATTTAATCTAAACATCAAGTATTGCACAAACAAATATTAAAACATAAACCACATTAATGCGATGGGTGAAAGTAGGTTTTATGAAGCGCTCTGGAATAATATACTTCAGAAATCACAGTAATAGCTGAACAGAACATGACTGTTCAGACTGAATGATGATTTTTCAGCGAAAACCTCCTCGCTGTCTGGCTGCTGTCAGTCAAAAATCCTTAAGTATGTTTGCCAATCAGCATCTGGCAGCCAGCATGACGACCCGCCCCTACTCCATGGACACCGCTTCTGTCAGTGAGCCCCAGGGCAGCTGTGGCTACAATGTAGCTTGCCACCATCAGTGTGTGAGTGTGTGCGTGAATGGGTGAATGAATGTAGTGTAAAGCGCTTTGGTCAAGTCTCCTAACTTGAATAAAGGCGCTATATAAGTACATGCCATTTACCATTTACACCAAGAGCCTGAGCCTCAATGAAAGTGAAGTATTTTGGCTTGTTATCTAATTAGGACTCTACTTTCTTGCTGCTTACCTCAATAGACTGCGGCTCAAACCCCTACAGGGGTTTATTATTGAGGCTCAACAGCTGATTAATGGGCAACATACTCATAAAATCAGGCTAATTTTAGTGCATATTAAATGCAGTTTAATGACTACATTTATGAAGCTTAAAATTTTATGAAATTTACAGGGGATGTTTAGCCTGCTTAGTATTGAATGAGAAATTGCCACTATATTGTAGATATGGCCTTTTAGAACTGTGAAAAAAGATTGTATTAAAATAGGATCAACCCCTGCATTATAAGCTATACAATGTTCCCACAAACATAATTTGGTTCCACTGGTAAAGGTGTATATCAGGCATTTTTATACACTCATCTTTGATTGCCTCTGCAATGAAAAATAAGTAGATAAGGCTCTTAATAATGATAAGCCATTGGTAAGCTCAATTAGCAAACAACAACTTGTTTCCTGGAGAGTAAATCTGTTCTCTTCGGCCTTCGAAATGGAAGAGGACTGATAACATATTATACAAATACATCTGTGTCATAATTCAAGAAATGTCTTCTTTGACTTCCTCAACTCTAACTACAGGCATATGCTGGCATGGACTTGTAATTATGATGACATATGCATGGTATGGTTGTTACATGTCGCATACGTTGGTCATTGACCTTGACCAAGACACCTTACAGTAGAACTGCAGTCAGTCCCTGGACTGGCATGGCTATCACTGCCCCTACATTGTTAGGGACAAATGCAGAGGACAGATTTCCCACTGGGATCAGCTTCATAGTCGTAGTGGGCTACTTCTTTAATTTTATTTATTTTTGCTCAGTCTACTCGTAAGCACACAGCCCGCCACATGTTGAAAGGGCAATATTATTGCCATTACGGTTAAAATATATTAGAATTTTTACAGATTCAGAATTAAAATGCCAAAGGGGATGGTATGGGGGGTGGTCATTTAAGAAGGGGGATGATTTTTAGGATTTTCTTTAAAAAGGGGAAACCATCTCCCCTCAACACGAGTTCTTGATGACTGCTAGGAAAATGGTGACAATAAAATGGATGAATCCACAGCCACATACTGTGGCACAGTGAAAACAGAAGCTGGGGAAGGTGTGTGGAATGCCGGCTTTAACTGCTCAACTACAACTAAGATCTGATGTTTTTGTAAAGAGGTGGTTACCCATAATAAGATACGTCTCAAACTGAGGGGATTCCAACAGCGTATGTCTTAAATGCCCACATATTTATTTAATATTTATTATTTTCAGTCATATGTATCCTATTTCTAAGCTTTCTGGGCCCAAAGGATTTTTGTTTTTTTTCCTGGCTTTCACAATATCATAGATAACCTGTGATGCTGCCAAGGAATGTTTGTATTCTTTCTAATAAAAAATAAAGTAAAAAAAATAAATAAATAACAGTTGTTTACTAGTTTGGACCCATATAACATTAACATTCTTGACATCACATCCGCAGAACAGCACGGGAACATTCGACTCAAAGTACATTCAGGAAAATGTGCTGGTTTGATTCAGGATTCATCACACCTCTAAGCTCTGCCTCTTTCCAATCAGCCTCCATCTCATTCACCTGCTTACTTGACTCTATAACCAACTCTCAGACAGTCACTATTACCAGATAATTAA